CGCTTCACATCAAAATTGGAGAATGAGTCTTTGGGACTTAACGATGCTATGCACATTAATAGCTCCGAACTTGACTCGGTAAAGCGATTACTCATCTCTTGAATAAGACGATCAATAATCTAGCATTATATTAAAAAACATAATTAATTACAATAACAAAACAAATAAATTTGAATACAATTAAATAATAAATAAAAGTCATAAAAATGTCAACATGAAAATAGTGGTAATCAGTTTTTGGACTACCATCAACCGTCTTCTGCCTTTTCACTCGACCTGGCTTTACATCCTCCATATTAGGTACATCAATATCATGTTTTGAACAAAATGTACTCACTTCTTCAACCAACAAATCCCAACCATAATCATTCCTATAATGCTCCAAATCGGTTTTCACAGCCCTGACAAGATCCACAACATTACCTATATTTTGATTCTTTTGTTGCAATTCCTTTGATAGCACATTAGTTTTCCCCAATAATTGCAACATGAAATGAGCAATGAACACAAACTCATAGGTTGCCATTTTTTCAATTAAACTAGAAGAAGTGGACTTTCTTTTGAGATCAACACCATCATCAAATATAGCTTCAAGCACCTCAATCACATCATCCCACATATCAACAACTCTAATGATTGTTTTATAATGAGAGCCCCAACGAGTATCACCGGGTCGTGCTAGACTTATTTCTTGATTTTTCACTTCCCCGTACTAACCTCACCACGTTCTATACGGCCTACAACATCTTCATAATGTTTTTGTAAAAGATCATCTTTTCTTTTACATGACGCACCCACCACATTTACAATCATGCCAAGATGATAAAAAAAACTACCAATTATTCCATTATTCTTCAAAGAGGACACAATCACCAACTGAAGGCGATAGGCAAAACAATGGATATAATGTGCTTGCTTATTTTCCTCCAAAATTTTTTGTTTTAAACCATTAATTGCACCACTCATATTGGAAGCCCCATCATAACCTTGGCCTCGAACCTTAGACAATGAAAGACCATATTTTGCAAAAAAATCATCAATAGCATTTTTCAGTGCCTGTGCAGAGGTGCTACTAACATGAACCACTCCCAAAAATCGCTCAATTACTTCCCCACAATTATTAACAAACCTTAAAACCACAGACATTTGCTCCTTTATTGAACTATCCCGAGCCTCATCAATCAACAAAGAGAAAAACTTGCTACCAATCTCATTAATAATAGCAAGCCTTACCTCGGTTGCACAAGCATTACTAATCTCCTTTTGAATTTTAGGAGAGGTTTGTTGACTATTTCTGGGAGCGTTCAAGTTCATTACCATGTTGATGTGTGGATGGCGTTTACATTCCCATTTCAAGAGTTCAAGAAAGTTACCTGTAATTATAAATAGTGCAATATATAGTCATTATAAATTTATAATCAAACAAATAATACATTATTAATAATTGAAATAAAGTGATAAATATTTACCTGAATGCGTTGAAGTAGCTGATTCATCATGACCTCGAAAAGCTAATCCACCCTCTAAAAGGAATCGAACTACATCAACAATTGTTGTTAATCTAGCACGGTACTCAAGCTCATCTTTCCTGGTTTGTTGTGACAATACATAATCCACATTTTGTTTTTTGTCTTTAAACCCGGACCATTTGATTTTTGCATAATGATGCGTGCTAACTGGAGTTCCTTCGTGGTCACAGAATTTTTCCTTAGCTTTCCTCCAGTTATTAAACCCAACTTCAGTAAAAGCATCATCCCCATTTTTATATCTTCTAGCAAACAAATAACACAAATGGCAAAATGCTGCATCCTTATCAACACTATACTCCAACCAATTAAACTCATCAAACCACTGCTTTTGAAATGATCTGTTTTTTTCCACCAAAATCAGTTTGTGGAAATTTAAACTCACGCGGTTGGCAAGGGCCTTTTGTCAAATAACGTCTCCTCAACTCGTCTCTAAAATTAACATTAAAAGTGTCAATCGGTTTACGCAATCCAGGATCACCAACAATGTCATCATCGGACAATTCAACTTCTATTCGAGCCTTTTTTACATTAGTGTCATTGTTAGGAATGACATTATCGGATGGAGAAACTAAATTATTCGATGAAGAACCACCAATGCTCGGATGTTTAGGTTCCGGTGTATAATATCGTAACATAGCCATTGTTTGGCAAACAACCTAGACCAATTATAATTGAAATAATATGAGGTAATTGTTTAAATTATATTATAACAAACTAACAACATTATCTAAATCAATAAATACACAATTTTAATATATAAATTTACAATATAATCAACATTTAAATGAGATTATCACAACATAATTGTCAAATACATTACACGGCAACACAGCAACACTGTATTTCAATTCAACAAATAAAAGTTTCAACAATTGACATTTTATTTGAATTAAACAAATACAACTCAACAAATAGTCAATTATAAATGAAATTATCTGAAAATCAATTAGGTCAAGGCATTAAAAGGGAAGGTAGAAATCCGGCCGTCCGGGACTGTAGACACGGCGGTGACCTTCGTCCACTGGGACTCGCTAAGATGCTCTTTTAATTTCCTACTCGCTCACTCACTTGCTGGCTCGGTGGTCGCTCAACTATCCGTTGAAGTCGCTGGGTTGCAGGGAGACTTGGGAGTCGCTGCAGACCTGCAGTAGCTTAACGCAGGGGAGTTGATCGAGTTGGGACTTGGCTTTAGGCTTTTGGGGAGTTGGGCTGCGGGCTGCTCCAGGAAGATTTTTTCTTTTTTTCTTTTTGGTTAGATCCAAGAAGGTTTTTAGGATTGGGCTGGCACAAGGGAAAGGACTAAACTAAAAGGCTTTTAGGATTGGGCTGCAGGTGCTCACTAATTATATATATATATATATATATATATATATATATATATATATATATATAAAATCACTGCGGGTGCACGGGCACCTCCGGGCACTGGGCTAGTTCCGCCCCTGTACGTGGGATATTCCTTTGAATTCCACTTAGTAGAGTTATTCCAAATTCTTTGATTATCATTGAGAAGCGATACTGATATTATATATCAAGTATATTTATACGTATTATATTCTTCTCCTATTGTGGATTCTTCTCTTTTAACTGGCAATTGGGCAACGGTCGAAGTGTTTCTGTCAAGCAAGCTAAAGGACTGAAACAGAGGTATGATTATCCTGGGAGCGAGTTGGTAGTCCCGTTCGAGTAGCTATCGAGATACGGGGGCTATCTTTCTTCAAGGCCAGTCCGGTTTACGGACGATCTTACGCTAAGTCTTTCTTTCTCTACTTTTTGTATTAATATTTTAATTCTAATTATTGTTTCTATTTATTTGTTCTTGCATTTGGTGGTTTGTCTGGTGATTTGTGATTAAACTCGGGATATTATCTGAGTATCTGACTAAACTCGCCATTTAAATATTATTTTTCTAACAGAATATGCTTATAAAATTTAATTAAATGATCTAGCCGGCCGAAAGCCCCTCAAATGGGTTTAGCCTGACTGTGGTTCTTGTGAAGTCATCCAGACAGGAACACCACTCATTAATCATATCTGAGTGGTATGATCTATACAAAATTGTATAATCTAAAATTTCAATCCGTTTAATTTAGACAATATAGACAGTACAACTCAAATGATCCTTGTAACTTAACTCATCAAGTTACCACCCTTGAAATTTTTCTTAATAACATTGACAACATCCTTGAATTAATAAATTTTGTTGAAGATGACTAATTTGTTTTTTTCAGATACTTTTTTCATTACTTAATTAATAATATATTTTCAATTTAACTTCTTTTTAAGAAAATTCTGTCAATTCAACAATTTCTGCAATAATTTCAGCAAAGTTAGTCAATTTCTCTGAGAGACTTTTGTGAAACACTCCCGATCTCTAACTATATGAGAGTAATTTTTGTGGATATAAGCGGCAAGATAGAAGGGGCTTTAGAGATCTCTCACTTGGCAGGTAGAGTTAATGATAGCTAAAAATGTTATGAAACTAAAAGAAAATGTGCACACCTCTTGAATCACTTAGGACTTATGATGGTTTTATCCTAGAAAATTAGAACTCTCACCATCCCATTATGGTTGTCTCATTTCTACCTTTTTTTTAACCCGGTAGGTGAACCACCAAAATCGGGGGGAAATGACGAAGAACATTTGTCGGATTTTATTAAAAAATCAAAAAATACATTTGAAGAGGGGGACAAGACCAAAACCTCTCTTGAAAGGGCATACCCTTTCGAAATACACGGGAAAAGTTAAAGGGTTTAAAATAACCGGAAATAAATTTGAGGGGACCAAACCTTACCCCAATTTAAATACATCTGAAAAAAGGAAGACCTGGAGAATCCGCAATTAGGGGAGAGCAAAACCCGAACCTACATGATTGACCCGACCGTATATATCCGAATTTTTTGTTTGGGTTGGAAAACCCGACCCAAAATACCCAAACCCGATCCGATTCTTGCAACCTGAGACTTAAGCGGGTAGCGAGTAGGGTTACCAATTATACTACCTGACCCGCCCGACCACCCGCAATACCCATGGCATATGTACTCCTTATATACCTAATTGTACTGTTCAGTGTTAACTGTAAAGCTCATATATACCAATTATCATTTGTATATACCAATTATCATTTTATTTATCACAATAGCAAATATGTCAATCACCGTATATTATTATTTTACATGTTCAAATATGTCGATTACCGTATTTATACAACTATTACTTTGAATGTTATACTAGTATAACTTTGAATGATATTTTTACCAATTACCCATTTATTTATCACAACTTCAACAATAATAAATTAAAATCCGAATGGACCCGAAAACCGAATCAACCTGACCGCAACCCGAACTTATTTAACCCGAAAAACTCGATAATTTTTTTGATAGGGTAGGGTTTGAAATTATCAATCCGATAACCGAACGAGTTTACACTTTTTGAACCCGACCCGCCCGAACCCGACCCGTGCTCTGCCCTATCCGCAATAATGGATCTTTAAATATTAGAGGGCGAATTACGGATATTATAAGAGAGAGAAACTTGGGATTGGGCTGTATCTAATTGGGCTAGATAATGAGCAGCCCAATTACATTCTCTTAAGTGTGTCCGCATGAAACCAAAGCTTTTTTGAAAGTTTCACACATCTCAGCTAGCTTTTTCCATCTCCCAGTATAGTTTGTATCATTCAACAGAGCAATAACACAAAGCATGAAGCTTTGCTTCAAGAACAGATTCCGCCGAGATGTGGAAGGCCAAAGCAAAGATCAGTTCGCCCGCTCTATTCCGCATAATCGCACCACCTCTAGGTTGTCCAGGTAAGAATGAAGCATCCACGTTCAATTTGAGCTCCGGTCGATCTAACAACCTAGGATTAGGGGTCCGAAAATTTGGATTAATAAGATTTTCGGAGCAAAACGGTTCAAAGTCGGTCCTTTTCTTTAGCTTTTGCAAACTATGGGACCAGTTGCGAATGAAGCTTCTATCTATTCTATTCTATTTATCTATTCTATTCTATTTATAAATAAATCTATTATCTATTACTTCGTATATTATATATAAGAAAACAAATGACAAGTGGCATTTCAAGGACATTTACAGAACAACCACAGCACAGGAAGCTCAGCATCTTTTGCTACGTACGATAGGACACGTGGCAATGTGCATTAATGAGCCCAATGTATAAAAACACCATTTTTCTTCATAATGTGATAACTTTTTCATTTTTTCTCTAATCTTTATGAAAAGTAAATCAAAATTCATAATTTTTTACGATCTTTCATATGACACTAATATTGTATATATAAAAAAAATTAAAAAAATGAAAGTGTTTAAACAACATTCCTATTTTTCAATCTCCATACAAATTATTTTCTATTAAATAAAGGAAAAATTGAAAATAATAATCTCAACTATTGCCGATCCGCTGAAAATAATCCCAACTATTGATTATTTTTGTATAATCCCAACTATATAGACTATCCGCCAATAATGGTCCATGACCATATATTACCTCTATAAAAAGTGAATTTTAAATAGAAATTAAGCGTAAAAATTAAAAGTTGAGATTATTTATAGGGATTATTTGTTATATCTCATCTCATCCAATTTAGAAACTACAAGAATTTATTCATTGGGACCATTATTGGCGGAAGGTCCCTAAAGTTGGGATTATTCTGTAATAATCAATAGTTGAGATTATTATGAGCGGACCGCCAATAGTTGGGATTATTACTATCAATTTTTCCATAAATAAATAAATAATTCTTCATATATCATCAAATTAAGAATAATGGATAAAATATGCCTTATTAATTTTTAGTGACTATAACTGTGCTGAAAATTATATCAAAGTGACTATCGAAAAATCTCTCATATATATATATATATAGGGTGCGGTTCAAGTGAGAACGGTGCTTAACGTGAGAACGTGAGAACACTCACATTTTACACAATGTGATGCACAATAGAGCCCGTCAGGTGCACATTTTCTCTTTTCTTGAATCAAGCTTATATAAATAATCACGGTGGCATTTTAGTAAATTATATGCTTAACATGAAATAGTGCATTGGGCGAGCCTTATTGTGCATCACGTTGAGGTAAATGTGATGTTCTCACGTTCTCACGTTAAGCATTGTTCTCATTTGATCTTTATTCTATATATATATATATATATATATATATATATATATATATATATATATATATATATATATATATATATATATATATATGTAGACAACAATGTAACTAAATTGGATGAGTACACCATTTTAGTCACTTTGATGTAAAATAAAACATAATCATAATTCCCAAAATGTAACAAATCACATTTTTATCCACTATCCTTATTTTTGTTAAAGTGATGAATTATTTCTTTATTTGATCAACCAAAATATTTTTTCAAAAATCAAAATAATAGAAACCAAACCGAACCAAACAAACCGTGATTTTAGATTTTTGTAGATCAAATCAAATTGAATGGCAATTTTTACTTGAATTCGACATTTAGTTTTAAATCAAAATCGAACCGTTTGAATCAAACTCGCCCTTACTTTTAACTAGCCAACAAACGCAATAAAAAATAAAATACATGATTGAAATAATTAGATGTATTTTGACTCAGAGATAAGTAGAACTACTCTGACTATATTTTTGTATTAGAGAAACCACAATAATTATCCTTGCGCAGGGGCCATGCTAATCTTCTCTGTATCGTTCCAATTTTCGTATTAGAGAAACCACAATAATAAATAGACAGTAACAAGAAAAAAAGGTATAGAGTAATATAGATACATTGATTTTCAAAAAGAATGGATGACACACCATCCCTGAGGGACCCCCAACACCGACCGGACAGCACGATGAGAGGATGTAAATTGTACTATAATAACAATCTGACATATAGAGAGTGGGGCTCCGTCCCCGGTACTTGCAGAGGCCCTATGCATTTTTAGCATAGTAACCTCTCATCGCAGTTGGCGGGAATTGAACCTGGGACCTAACCCACTCCCTCGCTACCAGTTGAGCTACGCCCACCGGTATCACATTGATTACATTGATTGCCAAAGTATCACACTTTTTTAAAGAAAAAGAAATGAATGAAATATAAGTCATAAAGTAATATGAATACATCTTTAATGAAAGTTGTTGAGTAACATACGGAGTGATACCTAAACGCAATCGTCACAATAATAATGATATGGAATACATTGTGTGTGTATATATAATAGGATCTAGTTTCAACAAAATGTTTGTTTTTGTCATTTATATTCATCTCTGTCAGACTCTTGCATTAGATTGGGGCGATGAGGGGTTTACTCTAACCACGTTAGGCTCAGTTAGTCACATTACAGGATCAGTGAGCCATATTGCTTTTTACAAGGTGATTGGTTCTAAGTCTGGTTCGATGGTCGGTGGTTGGAAGTGGTCCTTTTATCTTCGGTTTCCCTTGCTGAATGCTTTGATATCAATTTAAGCCACCTTATTCCACACACAAAAAGTTTCAACGAAATGTAGTTTTTTTAAAGTACTACGGGGTATACCATGCTTATATAAAGAGTATATATATCGTGATCTTATTGTTTTTTTATCATCAAAACAGGCCTCTATTCATATCAAAAGATTCAACATCATTACATCAAGCAAAGCGAAAATAAAACTGACACCAACTGAAACTCCAACAACTACGATTGTAACCCTATAATGAGACTTTGAGACGGTCACCCCTGAAAGAGCAACACGAATCGCTAACCATGTAATGGGCTTGACATAACCAAACTTGTTCCCATAGATCCAACCATATCCAATGACATAAAGAGAGGCTAAAAACTCAAACAAATTGTCAAAACCAACAACAAAGATGAACACAAGAAAACAAATGACAAACAGATAAAAATTACTAGGAAAACTCTCACGGACTCTAGCACCTCGTACAACCCATGGTGGTGGTTCAGGCGGAGTTCGGACCATCGCTCGATTGATACCCTCTTTCAGTGGAGTACCCGCCGTATGACCCAAATCCATGCCATCGAATGCAGCGTTCAGCCTCTCCACGCTGGCCATGTCCCGATCATCCCTACTTCTCTCTCTTGCTTCTTCCACCATCTTCTCGCGGCCACGATCATCCATCCCGAGCTACGTCCAAACCACAACAATCCGGCGCAGAGCTGCGTTGATTGAAAGAAACGCTGCACCAGGGCGGCGAAGTAAAAACCCTACGCGAGAGATCACGCTAGGGAAACACTGACTGAACTTCGATCAAGAAAGATCGAAATCGGAAATTATCAATAACACGTGAATACGTGAATAAGGGAGACGAAATAATTGCTACTTCGTGCTATAATTCGCTGCCTATCCGACCCCAACGATCGGATGAATGGAGGCGGCGCCTAGGTTTCACATCTTTCTCTCTTTCGCAGCCTGGGGTTTGGTTCAATGCTTTTGGTAACAAAATGTGCGCCTTTACTTTTCGTAATTTGAGTAGCACTATTGCATTGAGAAATTTTCCCTATCTACTTTTGATATTTTATGATCCGGTATACGTACTGTTGTACTCAGGAAGTCCAATTTTTTTTATTTATTTACGAAAATGCTACCGCATTTTTCATCAACTTTAATGCATTTTTACATGTTTAGAGCCATTAGATCCTAAATTTAATGCTCTAGATTTATTCCTATTTTCCATGGGAAGGACTATTTGTATTTAATTTTAAATCATACTTAGTACAGAGTATATACCAAAATATTCACTGAACATACTAGCATGCTTTATCTCATCTCGAGTATACATTTGTATTCATGTATCACTAATGGGATTATCAGGATCCTCAGCCATAAGGCAGAGTGCCTTGCGGCATCCGATGGCGGGGAAGCGACAAGGAGGACCTCGGGATCAGTGAAGGGGTGGAGCCCAAGATCTTCGGCCGTCCAATTCCCGATCGAACGGTCCCGAAGAGCCAGGCATCCTGCCTTGCTTTAAAGCAAGGCAGAGGCTCTGGATCCTCACTAGTGAGTGTGATTTTGTTCACCCCTTTAGGGAGGGTGAACATCACCCTCCATATAGCTCAATGCCGCCATGTTGACTATACATTTCATTTTTTTCTTTAAATTGTTATAAGTTTATGTTTATGGTTTATTTTTTGTAAAAACATTATCAGACTTAATAACTTTTTATGATCTTTCCAATGATATCAATATTGTATGTAAAAATGGAAGAAAAAAATCTAAGTATCTATTTTTAAATGAACCTTTTTTTAATTTTTCATATGTAATATTGGTATCATATGAAAGTTAATAAAAAATTACGAATTTAAAAAAATTTAAACAAAAAAAAAAATTAAAACAATTGCCAAATTATAACAAATTGCCTTGCCACATGGCATACATTTAGGGTGGGAGTGATGTTCAACATCCTTTGAGGGGTGAACAAAACTAAACTCATCACTAATGGTGTGTATGTGATAATCTATACCACACTAATTAAGTTCACGGTATGACTTCCACAATTTTTCAAGTCGACGTTTAACTACTAATACTCCGCCGTATGTATATAAGAACTTATACTTATTTACAAAATCAAATATATAATTAACATTTCAATTTCAATAATATGGAAATTGAAATTTTAGTTGTTATACTTTTCTTTTTGGGTTATCAAAATGTCATGTTTCCTTTTTTACAAGAAATAGTAGTCTATCATTTCACTTTATTCTACTCAAATCTCAATTACAACTTTTACTTTTCAATCACTTTATTAATTATCGTGCCAAATTAAAACAGGACAACCAATATGGGACGGAGGTAGTATTAAACTACTTCAGTCTTATACAAGTAAATTGTAACATTTGAATAATTAACAGTTAATTAACAATAAAGTTTCATTCATTCAAAAACGTCGAAAACTGAATAGCATGTACGAGTGTATGCATATAAAAAAATAAGGGGATTGACACAGATTTGACATGGATTGATCGATAATTCCGTGTCAAATACCTGGATCGTAACAAAATGCAGTTGACACGGATTTGGCAACCGTGTCAAATCTCTTCTATGAATTTTGACAAATACCTGCAAAAATCTATGTCAATGTCATAATTTTTGTCATGATACAAAGGGACGTAGCTTAGGTCATTGCGTATTTGCGTTCGTTACTTTATTTAAATCATCATTATCATTTGTTTATAATAGTAATTTATACTACGAATATGATGCGGCGTGAGTTAGTTGCTCTGCTAGCTATATATATAAATGGTACGTGATATGGAGGGGCGGATCCAGCATTTTATGTTGGACTGGGCTGAAAATTTTAATTGATACTGTAATACATTGATTTTTTTTCAAATAAGCGAAAAATCAATTATAAAAGTTATCCCCTAAATTTGTTCTAGACAAGGCCTTGAAACAAAAAACTCATCAACAATAGAGTCTACATCTATACTGAGAGTAATATCTTTTTCAATGTAAAGTTTCATGCAATCAGCAAGAAAACTATCATCCATTTTATTGTAGAGTGTTGTCTTTAGAAGTTTCACGACAGAAACTGATCATTCTATCTACTGTTGCAGTAGAAACAATAAGAGTATAAGACCAATACGAAGTGAATCAATCTAGTCATCTTAACATATGAATCACACCTTTTGCTTTTAGTTAATTCCTCACATAATTCAACAAGTGTAGATACTTGAAACTTGATATCATGAATCACATCATGAACATAGTGTAGCAGCTCGAATTTCAAAGCACGAATGTCGTGACTACTAAAATCTTCGGGATAAAACTTCCTTACAAGAGTACAAATAGCATCGACAATTCGACATTGAACGACTCATATGAATTTTTTGGATCAAATGAAACACTCAAAGAAAGGAGTTCCACTGATTTATCATTAAACCGGGTCGTTAACTCCATGAATAAAAGTATGTTACCTCATTGAAAACACCAAAGTAATAATGATTCTCAATTGTAGTTTCTTTTCAGCAATGACCAACCATATATTTAGAAATTAGAATTCAAAACTGGTGCATATATGAATTTATTTTTTTGAGAAAAACTCATTTACTTCTTCAAGAAAACATTCTCATCTATGAGTTTTGCTAGGTATACACAAAATGTGTACACATGTCCGTCCTTTATAGAAATTTTGTCCCAAGCATGAAAAATGTCTATATACACTATTAAAACGTTTCCACTTTCTTTTTTGGACGTTTCATATACAGATTATCATTTTTATTTAAAAAAATAATTAACACTATTAAATGAAAATTTAATAATCAAATATTAAAAATAATACTTTTCTAACATCACAGTTATCATCAATGACCCCATTATATTATATACTCATCAAAATTATTTTTCAGAGTATACTCGAATATTTTTATTGATAGTTGTCTAAATAATTGAGTCATTTTATAATGAAAACCTTTAAGCGGGACTCAGCGGGAGTGCGGGACGGAGGTAGTATATCAATTATCCAATAGATTAAATATATTTTGTAATTACCATTTTAGTTCAAACTTCTCTCCTCTCTAGCAATTAGCTTGTACGTATTGGCTAATTTGCTTGTCCAAGCTAGAAGGAAATATGCACTCCAATGGTAGGCTACTAGCTTGAATATTTTTAAAAATTGCAAGCAAGTCCTTAGGAGGAACCATTAGAGATGCTCTTAGATCCTAAATCCAATGCTCTAGATATATTCATATATTTCATGGAAAGGATTATGATTTTAAATCATACTTAATAATACTAGCGCTCTTTATATCGAGTATACAGTTGTATTCACGCGACGTATCACTAATGGTGTGTATGTGATAATCTATATATACCACACTAATTAAGTTTATGACTGTCACAAATTTTCAAGTCGGTGTTTAACTATTAATACTCCGTCCTATGTAAGAACTTATACTTGTGTACAAAATCAAATACGGAGTATAAAATTAACATTTCAATTTCAATAATATGGTTTATATACTAAAACAGTACAATATTAAATTACTTCAGTGTTATTCGAGTAAATTGTAACATTTGAATATACGGAGTATAATTAACAGTTAACAAATTAAAGTTTCATTCATTCATTTAAAACGACGAGTATATGCATACACTACAAAAAAAAGCAATGAGATTGATACAAATTTGACATGAATTGATCGATAATTTCGTGTCAAACACCTGAATCATAACAAAATGTAGTTGGCACGGATTTGACATAACTGTGCCAAATCTTCTTTTAATTTTGGCAAATAGCTTCAAAAAGCCATGTCAAAGCTATACAAAGCTAGGTCACTGCGTACGTAACTTTATTTAAATCATCATCATTATTTGTTTATTATACTCCGTAATACTCCGTAATTATTCATAGTAGGTACATGATGCGGCGTGTGTTAGTTGCTCTGCTGGCTATGTATATAAATGGTACGTGATATTAACCTATAGATCAGATAATTAATTTCCATGCTATATACCGATTATCTATCGATCCAAAATGAGGAAATACTACTACTTGACTTTATTTCTGTTTGTTTTCCTGCACATCTCAGCCTGCAATGCTGAAAACCAGACCATGACTGTTCTGGGTGTATGTGTTATATCATTGATACCTGCACTAGCGTTGTTGGTGTGTGTCATTAACTGCCTGAGTGGGGAGGAGAAACCAGAAAAATCTAACGCGGCGGGCGGGCAAGTGTAGCTAGGTTTTCACGCTACACAAATTTAATTGACAGCCTTCAATTCAGTGCTTTCGTATTGATGAAGTTCGACCTTTTCCGTTATATAACATTACATCGTACTTTTTATTCTGCGCATTTCAGTTTCATCTAGTGCACATTTCAATCTCATGTAGTGCACAATTCAACTGCACATAATGTCACTCTATCGTACCCTTTGTGATGCACATTTCAATTTCATCTAAAGCACATTACAGTTTCATCTAATGCACACTGAATTTCACTTGAAGCAAATCTAACGGTCCAGATTCGTTCTCATTTCTCTCATAAGATCGTGTTCTTATTTGAACCAAAACCTATATCCCTTTACCTGTTACTTTATATATATTCATGTATCGATATTAATTGTACGTGTAAGTGAGAGCATCTCCAATGGTAAATTGTGCACGGTGCACACGTGGCATGAGATATAACCACATAAATATTAGTAAATAAATTCTTTCTCTTCTTATTTGAATGATTTTATATACTTTTGGTAAGTTTTTCTCCACAATGTCAAGGAGACCGTCTAGATGTTGACATTGTTGTTGACATTGCAGGGAAAAACTTACCAAAATGGTGTAAAATTATTCAAATAAGGAGAGAGATTATTTATTTGTTAATATTTATGTGGCTATGACGCATGCCACATGTGCACCGTGCACATTATAGCATTGGAGATGCAATACACATATATCTTATTATGAAAATGTCTTTGAGATTTACTAATTTACAGTTTTCATATTGATTATAGTAACATCTTTTTACATTAATTATGTTACAGTTATAGCTACATCTCTGAAGATTTAGTATAATTACAAAATATTACGGAGTAGCTTATTATGAGTAACTTGCATTTAGTACCGATGAAATGTTTCTTGTAATTAATTAGAATACGGAGTCCTATAAGATGTTCTTGTATTGAGATAAAATATTCGATCTCATAAAAATTATCTCAAACATGCATTTCAACCATACATATGAATATATGATGTCCGTATTTTAAGTGGTCTTGTATTGAGATTTATAAGACAGTGCTGGAATAGGAATTGTGTAATATAAAATTGTTAACTGGAAACCAGACTAGCAATAATCGATATGGTCTTGGCGGGAATTCAACTGGGCAGTCCGGTTCATAAGCGTAACAGAACCCTTCCGAAAACCCCGATTTAATAAACATTTTTAATATTTGATGCTTTCAAGATTCAATAATACCCGGTTTCACATTTTCTTATTTGAATGTGAAAAAACAGGTTTAATTAAAAAAATTGGCCTTGATGAAGTTGAGTGCTTTTGACACCTCTTACTAAAAATAAGTTTTGACAACTTAGCTAGTCGAATCAGTTTAAAGTAATCAAATAAGCGGAAAAGTGGTTGATCAGCCATTAATCAAACATAGGCTTAATACTGATTCCATCAAAACAAAAAAAAAGGCTTAATACTATATCCATCAAAACAAAACAAAAAGGCTTAATACTATATCCATCAAAACAAAACAAAAAGGCTTAATACTAATATTTCCAGCTTTCAAAAAAAATACAGTTATGGTGTTGTTATAAAACTTAACTCTAATACAGTAGTACTTCTCTAAACTTTCGCGTACATGCCTGTCGGACGACCGCCACAGATTTCTCCTGCCTCGTGATCTCTTCTTCCAATCATCCAATTGATCCAAACACCAACATTGATCCCTGTTTTTCTCCCATGTTTTGTAATCAGTGATAAGGATTAATATTAATACCATCTTATTTATGTAATTAGTCATTGTAGAGATTATCTTGTTATCATCTGATCTAATCCATCCCTTGTACTCAAATACTCAATTATATATGCGGATGTACCTCACAATTCACAAGTGTAAATACAACATACACTTTTTCCAATACCATTTCGTATCTACAATCAGTTTGTGGATTCAATATAAATGCTAGGGGTACATAAGTTGTACACAACTTGTACACACAATGTCGGTCACAAACATTTGGTACGGAGTTGCCTGTGACCACAGACAAGAGTTGTCTGTGTACACAGACAAATTTTGTCTGTTTCCACAAACATTTACTTTTTTGTAAAAAGTACACTGAGGGCCGCCTGAGACTGACAAGTACTTTTTACAAAAAAAGTAAATGTCTGTGGAACAGACAAAATTTGTCTGTGTACACAGACAACTCTTGTCTGTGGTCACAGACAACTCCGTACCAAATGTCTGTGACCGACATTGTGTGTACAAGTTGTGTACAACTTGTGTACCCCTAGCATTTTCCAAAAGTGAAATACTACGTATTATCATAAACTTCCGTAGATTCAATTGTCGCTTCGATTTAATGATTTTATTATTAGGTCTTCTGTTTTTCTCCATCATCTCTCTAAACATCAAAATCATTCAAGTTAAAGTGTTTCTTACTGGAGCTAGCAGATAGTTGATCATAAAAATTGATAGTCCCAATTCGCAAATTCCAAGTATATGTTCCATTTCCTTTTTGGCAAGTTTTTTTTAGTTGGCATTTAAATTTGAACCTTCTTAATAATTTTCATTACAATTTAATAAGGATGTGTTTCATACATGAGTTTAGATATGATCGAATTGTTATAAATTCTTGTGTGCAGAATTGAACAAAACAAATTACAATGCATAAACCAGCAAATGTTTAAGTGCAATTGAGCTCATTAAGCCATTGCACAATTATGAAATACAAGTATAATTGCTATAAAACGTTGTGTAGTTAACTGTAATCAGGTATGGTAAAAAGGGTTAACTGTAATGAGTGTAATCAAGTAATTAAAGACGTGTTTAAATCATTAAGATCATTAAAATTTTAAAACACTCATTATACGATCAAAAAAATTAAAACACTCATTATGAAATATCAAAAAGAAGATTATGAAAAAGGTCAAACTACATATCCATTTGGAAGTGTCCTTCGACTGGAGTTACCTGATGTATTGAATTATCTCAAGGAAAAGGTGTTTGGCAAAATCTACTTCATCCAAACAAGTAAAATCAAAAGCTACAAACTCTGCTTATAAGCTTAACAAGCAGAATAAGACGAATAGACGATTATGGGCTTGGCTACCAAACATGGGCTAAGTGAACAAGTCCACAAAAGCTGCCTCATCCGACCTTAATGTAAGCACATACATTAAACCTATCACGGAAATATGCTTTTTATCTTTCAACTTAGGATTGAGAGCATATACATTAAACTATTAAAGTGATGGGCCATTGGGGTGTAAGCAGTTACAAAAGTTGGGGGGGGGGGGGGGCTCCGAGCCTAGCTTGGGCGGGCTCCGGGTCCAAAATATTCAGGCCCGCTACTAGGGCTGGACTGAACCGGGCCGGTTCGGGCCTCGAGCCTGGGCCCGGCCGGGCCTCGGTTCAGAAATATGAGGCCCGAGCCCGAACCGGGGGTGGGCGGTTCCGGGTCCGGTTCTGGGCCGGACCGGGCCGGGCCGGTTCACCCGGGTATTTAATTTTTTTTTTTTTGGCTTCTTTTATTTAACCCCTAACCCTCCCCCTCAACTCCAAACCACCCCAAACCACCTCAAATGGCCCAAAATACCTAATCCAACCCAAAACATAAAAAATTTTCAAAAAAAAAAATTAATTCCGGCCCGGACCGGGCCCAAACCGGCCGGGCCGGTTCACCAAATGGAGGGCCCGGAACCGGTATCCACCGGGCCGGTTCGACCCGAACCGCTGGTAGACCGGGCCACCGGGCCGGGCCGGTTGCTACAGTGGGCGGGCCGGGTCAGTTCCGGGTCGGGCTGCCCGGCCCGAGTCCAGCCCTACCCGCTACCAGTCCGGACTCCGGGTTACTATTGGGAGCGGGTCGGGCATGATTTTTTTTTGGCTTTTCACATTAATTCCAACCACCCAGCCCCACGCCCCCACCCACCTAGCACACAGCCCAATGGGAAAAATTTTGAAAAAATTAATTGGGCCGGGAGCGGGCCCTGACAGGCCGAGCCAGTCACCTTAAAACACAGCTCATAGCACGCCTCATTGAATCCCGGGTCAGGCCACCGGGCTTGGTCCCATACCCGGTTGGCCGGGTCGGGCCGGTCCCTCCCAGACTCCCAGTCCACCACTACGGGGAGCACAAAAAAATCAGATAGTTTTTAGTTTTTACAAACACTTTTCAAATTTGGGGTGAGAAAGGGTCAGCCACTCAGCCCCCTCCCCTACCTCCGCTCTTGTAATTAAGTGTGATAATAAAGAAAGAAAGAAAAAAGACTTAGGCGCCGTGTAATCCTGCTACTTTGCTAGTGTTGTTTCATTTACATGTCAACGAGGATCAATTGTCACAATTTTACACAACTGTGTGATGACGGATGAGTGTGTCTGTGTTTATATAAATATGTATAGCAAGACATAAAGTCATTTTGCCATATATTTCCCTCATTTTACAATAACATAATTTCTCCAGTTTCTTTTCATGTAACAGCTCGCTCAGTTTGCTTCCACTTAATAACAAATCTTGAGGGAGATTAATCTTTCACATTGGAATCTAATCAGACTATTTGGCTTACAAGCTTACGTCCTCCGGCAAGCTGGTCTGAAGGAAATATAGGCTACCACGGGCAGAAAGGGAAACACACAAGTCAGTGGGGGCAAAACTGATTTTTGCATTCAAATGTGGGAAAGAAATAAAATCCATGAATATGTGTGGTACCTACCTAGCGGACATGAAAGCCATACCAAAGAACACGGCCTTGACTGCATTCTTTTGGCCTGCATAGTCAAATGCCAGCGGCAGCATTTCGTGCAGGGTTAGGAAAGCCATTACCCCACCAACTGGAAAGTCACAAAAAGCACCATCAGCCTGAAGTTAGCTAGTGGTTTAAGTTATGAGTTATTAATAATCTTTACAGCATAAACAAAGAGGACAATGAATTGAACCTGATCCCAGGAGGCCCTCCAAAACTTCAGGACTTAAGCTTCTTGGAAATATGTAGGCTAGGTTTTGAATAATGTGTAAATAAAGTTGAAATTATAATGCTGCTTCATCCCCCCCCAGGGGGGGGGGGGGGGGTAAATAAAAAATATAAAATATAAAACTCGATCTTGAGCATTATTTGTTTGATATACAAGTTCGGTCAGAGCTGGGAACAAACCTACAATTATAACACCCAGGGGCTCAGCCAAGCCAGAAAGTGTTGCAATCTTGAATGCTTTCCATTTACTGTACCAAATGCATAAATTCAGATAATTATTATTGGAAAATAA